AAAATTTGCAGCTGCTGGAGGGAGGGTTGAAAAAAAGGAGAGAAGTTTTTAAAATGATACATTTTACAGAACAATGCTTATACTCTTTCACGGTGAACAACGCTATTCACATTACATAGCACATGTGATTTCAGTACAAGGTCGCATTTTCCATTTTAATATTGAGTGCCTGTGGCTTTGGTGTTAGAGATCACAGATGCAGGTCCGCGCAACAGAATTCAGCTTGCATGCGGCCATGGTAAGCCATTGTCTTTCGGCTTCTGTGCCCTCCTTTCCCACATACCAAGCAAAGCCCGTTGACTGCTGCGGTTTTCCTGTTAACCTTCAGCAGCAGAAAACAAACTAAACCCCCCCCCATACAATTCTCTGGGATGATCGCTTTATCCCTCCCCCCACCGCGTGGCTGGTAACAGGGAAGATCCCTGCTAGCCAAACGCAAAAAGCTCAGGGCCAATCTAACACCCCCTCCCCCTCCCCCCCCCCGCGCTTGGCTAATTGCAGGGAAGGATTTCTTTTCAGCCACAGGCAAACAGCCCAGTAGGAACGGCCACCTCTGTCCCCTTAATTAAATTCCCGTATTTCAACCAGGTTACCATGAGCGATATCACTCTCCTGAGGATTACACAGCGAGATAAAGAACGGATGTTGCTTGAATGCCAGCAAACACCGGGACCATACGCTGCCAGGCTTTGTCATGCAATGATACCAGATTACTTGCTGCAAGCATGGCGTGGTCAAGTGTCCTACCATGGAGGATGGAATAAGGCTGCACTGCTCAGAAACCTTGTGGCAAGGCTTTTGGAGTACCTCCAGGAGAGCTTCATGGAGATGTCCCTGGAGGATTTCCGCTCCATCCCCAGAAACGTTAACAGACTTTTCCAGTAGCTGTACTGACCGCGAATGCATCCCAAGTCCTCAGGGCAAAGTAATCATTAAAAAACGCTTGCTTTTAAAACAAGTTTTATATTTTAAAAGGTAAACTCACCTGAGGTCCCTTCCATGGGGTCATGGTCTTGGATACTGGGTTGGGAGGGTACTTCAGTCAGGCTGAGAAAAAGATCCTGGCTGTTGGGGAGAACGGAGTGCTGGGTGCTCTCCGCAAGCTCGTCATCCTCCTCCTCCTCTTCCCCGTCTGCAGAATCCTCAGGTGTAGCTGATGAGATTATCCCCGCCTCGGAATCCACGGTCAGAGGTGGGGTAGTGGTGGCGGCCCCCCCTAGAACTGCATGCAGCTCGGCGTAGAAGCAGCATGTCCGCGGCCCTGACCCGGAGCGACCGTTTGCCACCTTTGTTTTTTGATAGGCTTGTCTGAGCTCCTTGACTTTCACGCGGCACTGATCTGGGTCCCTATTGTGGCCTTTCTCCATCATGCCCTTGGAGATTTTTTTTCAAAAGTTTTGGCATTTCGTCTTTTCGAACGAAGTTCTGCTAGCACTGAATCCTCTCCCCATATAGCGATCAGATCCAGTACCTCCCGTACGGTCCATGCTGGTGCTCTTTTTCTATTATTGGCCTGCATGGTTACCTGTGCTGATGAGCTGAGCTATCTGTGGTCACCTGTGCCCTCCACGCTGGGCAAACAGGAAATGAAGTTCAAATGTTCGCGGGGCTTTTCCTGTCTACCTGGCCAGTGCATCCGAGTTCAGATTGCTGTCCAGAGCGGTCACAATGGTGCACTATGGGACAGCTCCCGGAGGCCAATACCATCGAATTGCGGCCACACTAACCCTAATTCGAAATGACAATATCGATTTTGGCGCTACTCCGCTCGTCGGGGTGGAGTACAGAAATCGATTTTAAGAGCCCTTTATTTCGAAATAAATGGCTTCGTTGTGTGGACGGGTGCAGGGTTAACTCGATTTAACGCTGCTAAATCGGAATTAAAGTCATAGGGTAGACCAGGCCTCAGATATACTATCTTTGCTTGCTGCTGTACATTGGCTCTGAATGCACCCGTGTGTCAGTTTTGCCTGCTTGCTTTCAGATGTTACCAGGATTATTGTGTATCTATAAAATGTATGCTTTACAGCTCATAAAGTTTGTTAAAATTTTAACACTTGTCTGTGAGGTATAGATGGGGGAGGGGGAAAAGCCTCCAGTTAGTGTTGTTTTTTTCAGTTAACCATTCCAGGGAACTAGCAAGTGTGTGTTGTATTTTTGATTGTCTTTGTGTTTCATACAACACATACTTTTAGTGGTTAGTTTAACAGAGTGCTGTGGGGTCAGCTTGAGGATAAGGAATAACCTGAGGACTTGGGCTCTCTGGCTTACTGAAGAATAGGCTCACGATGGAGGAGAAAGGAGGAGACCACTTTATCCAGGAATCACAAAAGAGGCTTCTTGGGGGACCTACACTTAAAAATTGTACTGACATAGCTCTGCCAAGTAGATTGTGATCATGTAATATTGCATAAACTATACTGGAATAAGCATTTTTATACCAATATAACTACATCCACACCATATTGACAAAATCCTACTAATGCAGACAAGGCCTGTTTTTTGACAAATCCACTGAAACTAGAATTTCCTTAAGTGTAGTGGGGGTAGGAAGAGAGATGGAATTAAAGACCACAAACTTCCTATGGCTCAGAGCCTGTGAGGGCAGTCAGCCTTCCCCTGGGAAGCTGTCCTTCAGTGACAGAGATTGCAAGCACATGCAGTATTTTTGGGTACCATATTGAATTTGTTAATGTTCTATATATCTGCTGGGCCAGGGACTTTATTCAGCTCCATGGGGGGGAGGGTTACCATAACTCCTCCAGGAAGTAAAATGGTGGGGGGTGATTACTGCAGTCCCAGGGATTGTAAACAATTCAAAAGGGGTACCACTCCCTGGGTTGGTTTGTATATACTGGTTCAAAGGGGTATCAGAAACCCAAGGAACCAAAGAATTTCTGGCATAAAACAGAGTTTAACCTAAAATGGGTGGGGCGGGGGAGGGAGACTTCTTTCCATCTCAACAAATGGACCTTGTCTTTGATCCAAGGGAGGCCCCGAACACTGCTACATGTTGGTAAACTCCCATTCAAAGGTCCCTGTGCAGAGAGAGATGATGGTCTCAGGCCTCTAGACTGAGCGTGCCTTCTTTGAGAAGAGCACGGGGTCAGGGAGGTAAAGGTGCAGTTACACTGAAACTATTCCCCATTCTATGGGGGGAACATGGAGGGGATGATTCCCTCTGAGTTAGATGATTCACTTATGACGTGGCTTTCAGAGGTACTGAGCTGCTGCAGCTCTTCAGTGGGAGCTGTAGTTGGTCAGTACCTTTGGAAAATCAGGCTGTTACAGTCTGTCTTTTGTGTCCGTTTAGCCCCACAACACCTCTGAAGTTGCTTAATCCGTTACTGTTTTGTATTCACTTTTATTCCTGAATACTTATTGACACCATACAGAAGACAGCACTCCTAGGAAAGCTACATTCCTGACAGGAGTTAATTTATAATAATTCTTTGCACTCAAATATTCTTTTCATTATAAATATCTCAGCAGTCTTTACAAGCGTTGTTTATTCCTGTAAAATGCCTGTGAGGTAGATAATTACCACCCCCCCCCTTTTTTTAAGACCGTTTCCCTGCCCTGAAAAGGTTTAGGTTCTATTTCTTATCTAACCAAATTCCATGTGATGAAATGAGAAATTGAGTGTCATTTAGTCTCATTACAGATAGCAAATTTGTTGGTAAGAGTAGGAGGCTAAGCAATGAAAATGTCCCCCTGCTTCTGGAGTCCTTCTGGAGTCTTGCAGTTGTCTGCTCTCTTTTTGACATATCTGAATCAAAAAAATTAAAGGGCTAAAGTTTCTATCTTTAGAAAGATGACAAGTAACGTAATATTTCCTGAAAAAAATAACTTTTCTACTGCACTGGACACAACTGTCTGACCTTTCCATATCTCTACAGAAGAATGCTGTTTTTATTTAGAAAATCTATAACATTATTTTTTTTTCCCTGTGGGAACATTTTTTTTTTTTTTTTTTTTTTGAAAGTCCGTGTGCAGAGAGTATTCCTATTGGTGGAAAAAAATGTAAAAGCAGCTAGTTTTCCATTATTTGGGTTTCTTAAGTTAGGTACTGATATCTACCCATTTTGTATATTTTCAGGATGATGCTGTTAGTATAGAAAGTGGTACTAACACTGAACGCCCTGACACCCCAACAAACACTCCCAATGCACCAGGAAGAAAAAGCTGGGGAAAAGGAAAATGGAAATCCAAGAAGTGCAAATACTCCTTTAAATGTGTAAATAGTCTGAAGGTAAGGCTCAAATAGATGAGGTTGAAAACTAGACACTAGTTGTGGTGACCACTTTGATTTAGAGACACTATCAAGTCTGATATCTCAACTTTGCTCATGCTTCAGAGGAAGGTGATCCTTTTTCTCCCTTTCTCTGTCCTTCCAAGCTAATTATGCAATATTGGGCAGATACTATCGTGATGAAAACCACAGAAATAACCATAATTAAATGCTGAATATGGAGTGGAGACATCATTCATGATCCCTAGGGAAATAGCTTATGCCATGTGGTATGAAATATATTTTACCCATCTTTGACCTATACAAAAGTGTAACAAGACTACACTTAAGAGTGAAAAATCACCAAAACAACTTAAAGGAATGGAATCTCACGTTATCTTGTAGAGATGTGTGGAGCAGGATATTTCTGCCTTCCTAGACTTGCTTTCCATTACTTTTACTGTTTTTACACATTTGCCCTCCAGGAAACCATGAAGTGTGTCTATTACTCACTGCTGTAAATTTTAAACACTGTTGTGACTGAGTCTGAAAAAACACTCTAAAAATATTTTTTAAACACTTGTGTAGGAGCTCCCTTAGGTGTAGTTTAAATGCCAAGAAAACAAAAGTACAACTTTCCAAATAAAGCAAACCTTTATTTCCTGTTTTTGTGCGCTATATATATATATATATATAAAAATAAATAATATTTTTTACAAATTAGTTGTCAAAAGTCCCTTAAAAATGAAGTAAAATGTCCTTTTTTGGGGGGGGGGTAACTATTTTGAGAGCTCAAATATGTATAGACGTAAAGGTTAAGCAGTAAATAAGTGTGTGCTGGGATGATTTACAGCATATAGATAGCCTATGGGGCAGTAGGTTTTTCTGAGAAAACAGTAGTTTCTTGATGTAAGTTGTTTGAGCTGTTCTGACACATTGCCTTTTAGAACAAAATACTATCTTTATTTACCTTCCAAAACCTCAGCTGAGCATTGTATGATTTTCCTTGTAAGAGTTAATATCATTGCAGATACATTTCTGCTTTTCCTAAACTCAGACTCAGATTTGGACAGATGTATTTAAACAAATTAACCTATTGTCATGATTACATGGCTAGCTGCACCCTTTGTCCTCTTCCTGGTGTCTGAATGACCGGAGTCCTCTGGTCTTGTGCCTTTAGCTCTTACCTGCTTCAGAGTGGTATTTCGCAATTCTCTCACTCTTTCAGTAGGACCAGGTCCAAACTGCCCTGTGTGTACCATTCATTTCTCACCATGCTGAGATCTGGGCACCTATTTTCTCTCCATGGCAATCTGTGACTGGTGATATTGACCAGTAGCCTTCTTAAAAAGAAAATATTTTCTATAGCAGTTGGAGCAAAGTTTTAGAAAGAAAAAAACTGATTTTAAAACAGCCAACTTTTATGCTGTATCCCATAATGGTGACCTAGGCGGGATTAACGACTTCAGAGGTGAGTTCCTGTGGAGGTCTTTGGCTGTTTCTCTGTTTCCCTGTCTCTCTCCCTCCCCCCGCCACGAGAGTGTCTGTTAGCCCTTTTATTGTACCATCTTCTGTTGGGGAAAGGGACAAGCTTTTGAACGACAGAAGCTCTTCAGGACTTGAGGAAGAGCTCTGTGTAGCTTGAAAGCTTGTCTCAAGTTGGCTCAGTAAAAGATATTGCCTCACCCAGGGACCAACACTACTACAACACAGCTGCAAACAACTAAACAGTGTCAACTTTCTTTGTTCTCCAGGAAGCTATTTCAAATATTGGTGGCCTTTGGCCTCCCCCCTTCCTCTATACTGGTCAAACCAGTTCAGGGGCTGGACTAGAGTTGTCAGCACTAATAGTTCTGGTATTGTCCCTTAATACCTTCCATTTGAAGGTCATTAGACCACCATCATGACACATCTCTTGCCTGCCTGGGCTGTTCCAGATGGTCTCTTAACACCATGGCAGTGGCAGGCCAAAATACAGTGTTAATTATTAAAGAGCACCCCCGTGTTTGTCACAAAAAAGAAGATAGGCCTGTAAATATACATGTATCTTAGTAATATTAAAATCGTTTTTCTCACTTTTATAGTACCTTTCATTTGAAGATTTTAATCCACTTTGTAAGTGCTAACTTCCTAGGCATATTGTGACCTAGGTTAGTATTGAAGTCATTTGTGGCATGGCTTAACTAAGGGTATGTCTACACTTGCTAAGTTTTTGGCGCTGTAAGTTTCACTGGTGATAGGGAACCGGTGAAAGTAAAGTGCTGGTTTGTGTACTCAATTCCTCAGGCATCAGAGTGTGTTTACATTAGCAGCACTTCCATCATGGATGAGAGTAGTGCTCTAGGGCAGCTATCCCACAGTGTAGTTCTCTCCATTTTGACGATAGGTCTTGTGGGAAGGGGGGGGGGGGCGAGCGGAAGGCGTTCTGGGTCCCTGCTCAGTGCCCCATGATGCGCTGCTTCATGTCCCAGCAGCCCTATTACTTCCTTGTTTCTTTTGCTGCATTTTTTAACACTCTTGGCTGTCTGGCTGCTTTCCCTACCACATCTACAAGCAGGAATGGATCCTGCACTGCTGTCCACTACTCTGATAGCTGTCCCTTGCACATCATGCATGGCAGTGTAGCTAGTCTTAAACTTGCAAAGAGATGCCTGATGAACTGCTGAAATGGAAATAAGGCCTTGGCTACACTTGCAGGTTAGAGCATGTTAAATCAGCCCTGGTCACCCTAACTCCTGAGGTGTCCACACTGGCAAGGCACTTAGAGCGCCTGGACTCTGCAGCTGGAGTGCTCCTGGTAATCCATCTCCACGAGAAGCATAGTGCTTGCTGCGCCCCGGCTGAAAAACTGCTGTGATTGGCCTCCGTTGAAGTCAAGTGTCCACTCTTGTCATTGTTTGCAGGCATGGGGATATCCCCTTTCAAAGCTCTATTTCTCACAGCCAGCATGCTTATTTGGGACAAAGCAAACCATTACTGTGGAATGCTGCTGCTGCTGCCTCGAGGCAGGTGGGGTGTGTGTGTGTGTGTGTGTGGGCAGATGTCGGGGTTTCCCCCTGCTGCTGTCTGAACTTACAAGACAGCATGCTGACACACTCTCTGCACCCCACAACACACTGTCTCTCCCCCCACATACACACAACACACTCTGTGTCCCACTCTACCCCCCTGCCCCCATTTGAAAAGCATGCTGCAGCCACTTGCACACTGGGATAGCTACCACAATGCACTGCTCTCTGTGGCACTGCAAGAGCTGCTAATGTGGCCATGCCACTGCACTTGCAGCTGACCATGTAAACACACAGTAGTGCTTTCCCTGCTGCTGTCTCCGAGGGCTGGTTTAACTCCCAGCGCTCTACATCTGCAAGTGTAGCCATGCCCTAAGTAACATTTGATTGCTTTTAACATTAACTGAGGAGCTGAGCACCGTGGAATGGTGTTTTTGGGGCTAGGAAAAGTAGCTCAGAGTGGTGGGATCGTATCATTATGCATGTCTGGGATGACGACCAGTGGCTTCAAAACTTTTGGATGCGGAAAACCACCTTCATGGAACTGTGTGCTGAGCTTTCCCCAGACCTGCGTCACAAGGACACCAGACTGAGCTGCAGTCACTGTCAAGAAGTGTGTGGCAATCACATTGTGGAAGCTGGTGACTCCAGACAGCTACCGGTCGGTTGCGAACTAGTTTGGAGTGGGGGAAATGGACCATTGGTGCTGTGGTAACTCAAGTATGCAAGGCCATTAATTGCATCCTACTGTGCAAGACCGTGACTCTTGGTATTGTGCGTGACATTTTGCATGGCTTTGCAGAAATGGGCTTCCCTAACTGTGGTGGGACCCACCTTGGCACTGAGTACATAAATTGTAAGGGGTACTTCTCCATGGGTTTTGCAGGCGCTAGTGGATCATCGTGGGCATTTCACTGATATTAACGCTGGATGGTCCGGGAAGGGGCATGACGCACGTATCTTTAAAAACACTGGCCTTTACAGAAAGCTGCAAGCAGGGACTTTCTTTCCAGGTCAGTGGATCACCATCAGGGAAGTGGAAATGCCCATTGTGATCCTGGGAGACCTATCTTACCCATTAAAAAGAACAGGAGTACTTGTGGCACCTTAGAGACTAACAAATTTATTAGTCTCTAAGGTGCCACAAGTACTCCTGTTCTTTTTGCGGATACAGACTAACACGGCTGCTACTCTGAAACCTATCTTACCCATTGATGCCATGACTCATGAAGCCATACACTGGAAACCTAGATGTCAGTAAGGGACATTTCAACAACAGGTGCAAGTAGGTGCAGAATGGCTGTGGAATGTGCTGTTAGAGGGCTTATTCCTTCACCCACTCACTTCCCTGGTCCTTCTCGCATGAACAGAGAGCAACAATACCCAAAGTCCACAGGTGCAAACAATTCAATGTTTATTGGGGTGAACTTCCAGCAAGCAATGATTCCAGTTTCCTTCCTTAGTGTCCCCCTTCCCAGCTCTGACACCACAGAGCCTTGCCTGTGTCCCTCTTCCCATTCCCCCCTTAGCAAAACATGATTCCAATTCCCGTACCCCCATTCCCTGTTCCCATCCCCCCCTTACTTCCTGATTGACTGCAGACTATATAGTAAAACTTGAGTTCTGCTTAGCTATACCATAACCAATCATTTTACTGAAATTTAACTAACTAATCCTAACATATTGTAACATGATTATCTAACCAATTGTATCCCACCACCTTAATTGGTTTACACCGAACAAAATTAATTATACAGCAGACAGAAACAATCACAGAACCAGACAGGGAAATGGGGACTACAGTGATAGAACAACAAGGAAATGAGGATTTCACATCCCAGCTATTGATAAGTAAGTTCTTGCCAGACAGGATGCTATCAAACTAAGTTTCCTTTAAATCTTCTAGGCACTTCCCTTTCTCTGGAGGTGATAGATATTATCAGGACAGGATCGTTTCCTAACAGCCCAATAGCACCTTATTTCAATGTGACTAGTTTGGAATGTGAGGATGTGACCGTACGCTTCCCAGCTTATGGCTGCCTCTGCTGCTTAGCCAGAGGCCTGAGCCTAAGAACAGGGCCTCAGACTCACAGTAAGAGAAGACCCTTACACCGGCAGACAGTGATTTTGATTCTTTCTTTTATACCTCTATAACTAGCTTAGTGATAAGAATACACCTAAATTCTTAAAAGTATAGGCCTTTGCAAACAGGCCTGCATATCTATATCCTAACATGTGCATTTGGCCATTTGAAAGCATGCTGGAGATGTTTGTACAGTAGATTGGAAACGAGTAAGGAAAATATTCCCATGGTTATTGCGGCGTGTTGTACTTTACATAACATTTGCGAGGGGAAGGGCGAAAGGTTTACCCATATGTGGAGTGTGGAGGCTGAATGCCTGGCTGCTGAAACTCAGCAGCCAGATACCAGGGCTATTAGAGGGGCACAACGTGTGGCAGTTAGGAGCCGGGATGCCTTGAGGGAAAAGTTTGAAAGTGAAAATCATTAAACTTTGCTGCTGGGCTTGGGAAAGGAAGTGTTAACAGCATGTGCTGTGCTACATGGTGGTTCTGTCTGTAATTTCAGTGAAGATGAAGTGCTAGTTGACTTGTAGCTGTGATGACATGTACAGAATCGTGAACACACAAATAAAGCTTGCTTCTTTTTGAAAATTTTGTGCTTTTATTTTTAAAAAAGAGAAAACACCATATGCACATATATCCATCCTCAATAATGGTGGGGGGCCCGTATACCTCACAGCTGTGTATAACTCCAGCTGTTGTTTGACAAGCTGTCCTGGGGCTTTACTGGGGAGGGGCGGACATCCGTTTACCTGGCGTCAGAACAGAGGAGGTGCTGGCCAGAGTGGTCACTTTTGGCACTGTGGGATATCCTCCAGAGGCCAAAAGGTGTTTACACAGGAAGAATGTATCTTCACTTTCACATCACCGCAAAAAGAATAGCGGTAAGAACTGTATGCCTGTCGAGAAGGTGGTTTTCTTTTTGCGGTGAAACTTCTGAGTTTCACTGCAAAAAGTCATTAACAAGTGTAGACGCTCCCATGGATTTTGTGCAAAAAAGGGATATTTTGCGCTTTAAATGGCAAGTGTAGACATGCCCTAAGGCTTTATTCTAGAGCAGTGGTTCCCAAACTTTAATAACCCGCGAACTCCTTTCACGAAAATATCAAATCTTGCGAACCCCCTCCTAAAAACGAATATTTCCAGGGATTTTCTCCCTTACCTGAACATAAATGATAGAAGCAGTGATCTTGGAAATAATGTGGGTTTTTTTATGACCCTATTTATTATTACATTATTTATCATTACATTATTAATGTTATTACTTTATGAAAACAGCAACACTCTTCCAAGATTTCACCTCTGTAACTCATACCACTTCGATTAAGCTTCCTACATGTTTCATCAAGGAGTACCAGACGTGAAACAGCATGAAGATATTTACGAAGCCAACTCAAATAAAGAGTTCCTCCCACAAGCATTTGGGTCTTGAGCAGTCCAGGCAAAAAACGCACGACTACAACAAAGCTTAAACTTGTTCTGCCAGGAAGTCATGGTTACTGGGCTCAGGCTGCCGGCCCCTGTGCCTCACGGGGCTTCTGCTGCCGGCCCCCACGGGGGTTGGGATCCCTAGGGACGGCTCTGTCTGCCATTACAGACTTTTTTTTTGAGAACCCCGATATATTTCATGAACCCCAGTTTGGGAACCACTGCTCTAGAGAGTTGTACCACCTTAACTATACTTGTCTAGTTAAAGTGGTAACACCCCCCCCCCCCCCCCCCCCCCCCCAGCCAATATGGACACAGTTATTCCAGTATTGCTTTTTGTCTATCCCCATAAGGAATAAGGCATGCTGATAAGGCCCTTTATACTGGTATAACTGCATCCCAACTAGGGGTTGTATCAGGATAACTATTTGGGTTTTAAAAAAAAATCACACCCCTAACTGAAATAGTTATACTGGCACAAAATTTGTGTGGACCAGGCTTTAGACCCAGAGGTTGCCTTGCCCAGGATCACAAAACAAGCAAGTAGTCAAGCTGCAAATAGAACCAGTACATAAGAGGTGGGGTTTTTTTCACTTCGCCTTTAAAGCTTTGAGCAGAGGAACACATTTTTATCTCCCCTGAAGATGAACAAGTTAATGTGCTGTGCTACTCTTTTTTTTTTTTTTTTTTTTAAGAGCGAGTATATTGTGTCAGAATATATAAATGGCTATAAATGTAGTGCCCTTTTATATGAGAAGAGGTTGTACAAAAATAGGTTCCTTTTGCCACAAATCATGAGTTTCTGAGAAATAATGTCTGGTCTCCATTCTCTCACATGTTTCCTTGACCTTATTTTTCCTTTACAGGAGGACCACAGTCAGCCATTGTTTGGAGTCCAGTTTAACTGGCACAGTAAGGAAGGAGATCCATTAGTGTTTGCCACTGTAGGCAGCAACAGAGTGAGTATATGCTCATTTTTGTCTAATCATGTTGCCTCTAAACGTGGTTCTGTTTCTGCATGCTAGTTTCTTCCTCCTCCAATCCAGTTACCAGTGTTCAATATTTAAAATACTGTGGTGGTGTTTTGTACTCCAATTTTCAAGGCTGTAAATGCCTGCAACTTTAAAATGGGTGAATCCAGTGGACTGCAGTGTGATGGTACGCTTCAGCGGTTTGAGACTAAGGCTCATATTTTACTAAAATTCCTTCAGTTGTGTAGAAGTTGGAATATGTATGAAAGGGAGACACTAAAATTCTTTTCAGGTGAAGTGTTGGTTCTCAGCTATAACATGTTTAAAGGGCTAAGTGATGTACAGCAGGATGAAAGAAGCATCTTTATTGGTGTCAATGTGCCAAGTACTGATAGTAAGTAAAGATTAGTGGCCTATGTGAGATGAGTTGATGGATTCTTGGTGAACAGACCTTCACTTAGCAGCAGCCTTAAGAAATAGTTAACAGAGAGCACTGCATGAGTTGCTCTGAATATCTGTTTTATGAGTAAATAAGAGAACTTCGTTTTCCAAGGTTGTCAGTGCGGCAGTTATCACAAGCACTAACTAATGTAGAGGAATAAGTAACAAGGGCCATGGTTCTTTGCAAAGAAATTAAAGCAGACAATAGAATGACATGTCAATATCGAATAGAAGTAACAAGTTAGGTTAGTGCTAATTGTATTTATTTCAGGATATGGTATAGCCTGTCAGCAGCCTTCATCCCTGGGAAGTGCCACCATGAGGAATGTTTAAATAAGTCATTTAGTCTGATAAGACACATGAATGCTTTTGCATCAAACCACTTCCACATTCAGCTAAGGAACAGATAGTAGATGGGACTTGTGTGGTAAAAGAACAAGACACCCTTCAATTTGCACAGATGAATGTGAAAATCATATGCCATATTGCATGAAACTAATAATCCATTAAACCTTTTTTTCCAGGTTACTTTATATGAATGTCATTCCCAAGGAGAAATCCGTTTATTGCAGTCTTACGTGGATGCTGACGTATCCTTCTAAAGCAGCTGGTCATAAAATGGTTTTTTAGTAGGACTAACATGAGAAATATTTGTTTACTCCCTCTTATACTGTCTGTGATAAAAAGAACAGGAGTACTTGTGGCACCTTAGAGACATCCGAAGAAGTGGGATGTAGCCCACGAAAGCTTATGCTCAAATAAATTTGTTAGTCTCTAAGGTGCCACAAGTACTCCTGTTCTTTTTGCGGATACAGACTAACACGGCTGCTACTCTGAAACCTGTCTGTGATAAAATACTGTAAACACCTGTTGATAATGAACATTCTTCACTTCAGATCCAAACTCCTGCCTGTATCCCACAAATTTTAGCTTTACTTTTCTAATATTACAAATGCAGCATCATGAAACATGTTATATAAAACATTGTTAACAAGATTCTACATAATCTTATGCCTCCCAGCGCTAACACTTGTATAACAGGTTTCATGTTTGTAGCTTCTACAGTCTTCTAGCAGCCCTATGTAGTAGGTAGCATTCCTATTTTACTGCTGGGGCCAAGGTTGGAAATGGGAATTCCTGGCTACCAGTCCTGAGCTTAAACCACTTACATGGCTAATAAATTATTGTCTCACCTTCATTTTAGTCATTTAGTCCCACCACGTGAGTCCTTTTGAAGAAGAAATTGCTGATAGATCAGAGGGCATTTCAGGTGTATGGTGCAGCTTGAGGAAGCAAAAAGAGCAGCAAGGAGAGAAACAAGCACAGGAGAGGGAGTGGAGTTTAGAAAGCTTAGAAATCAGAATAAATATTAATCTGCTTATCTTTGGCCATACTCTAGTGAGCTTTTTTACAAAACGGCAACTGTGCTTCTAAACAAATGTATGAATACCTTATTCTCTTGAAGGAAACGCTACAGCTGCTTCTGTAGTCCTTAACATGGCACCTATTAGGCAGATGAGAACTTTTATACTTGTGCATGGACCTATGATAGCAATACAAGTCACCCTCTTCTGGCTGTGGCTGGGTCAAGGGGTATTATTAGAATAATTAATCCCATTACAATGCAGTGCATAAAGGTGAGTGGTCACTGCTTCGAACTGCAGATTGTATCTATTCTAAGTATCTCAATGTGAGAGGGGGAAATAATTTTATGTTTGAAATCTGTTCCCTAGCACTACGTGGGTCATGGAAATGCAATCAATGAACTGAAATTTCATCCAAGGGATCCAAATCTCCTCTTGTCTGTAAGCAAAGGTATGAAAGTTTAGCTTCTTATTTTTTTGTTTAGGAACCATCTACTTAATTTTTTTTTTTTTAAATACCATGCAGGTGGTCTTGGGTGTGAATGAGAGTAGCTAAACCCCATCAGAACACAAAGATTAATGTGTGACACTTTAAGAATTGAGGTGGACAGGATGGGTGAGGTAATATCTTTTATTGGATCAACTTCTGTTGGTGGAAGTGACAAGCTTTTGAGCTTCACAGAGCTCTTCTTCAGGTCTGGAAGAGATAACCAGAGTGTCAGCTCTTTTTCCAGACCTGAAGAAGAGCTCTGTGAAGCTCGAAAGCTTGTCTCTTCCTCCAACAGAAGTTGGTTCAATAAAAGATGTTACCTCACCCACCTTGTCTCTCTCATATCCTGAAACCAACTTTAAGCATTGAAACTCTAGAACAAATTTACTCTGTTAATTTGGATTTATGTGTGGATGAAACCCACTGCCTGTATTAGACATAACTGCATCCATTGATGCCAAGGGACTGCAGACAGTGTCTCTGTAGATAGAAAGAAAACATCCATGGTTAGGTGTGACAGTTGTGCAAACCATTGGGCATTGATGGAGCTTTGTGATTATCATTTAAACTTTTTATATGCTGAGTTGTCCTGCCATCTAGTGGTGTTGGCTACATGGTGCACACTACTTTCAGTATGGAAAAAAATTCTTAGCTTGATTCTCCTGTCACTTACTCGAGTATAAATTAGGAGGAAGTGAAAGGAGAGATGGTTCATATGGTCTTGATTAGACTATCCAACCAATCATAACCTCTTAAACTTGACTAACTTAAAGCAAGACTGTGTGTTCACAAGAGTGAAGTTTTCCAAGTGCTAGAGTTAAAAACTTATTCTGTTCTAAATGCAGAACACCCTACAGTTGTGCAGTGTTGTGGATGAGACTTCAAGAACAAGAGTCGAGAAACTGAAAGTGATTCCTGCAGCTTTGTGTATAGTGTGGTGTAGTTGTGCGAACCATAATTTTTTGAGTTTATTTTATTTGTAATTAAATAGTTTGGAACTTTAAAGAAGGGAAAATCATGCAGTCACACTATTGTATGATGGTTGGATCAAATTTTGCCTACCAGACAATGATTTGACAGTGGTAGCGATGGAGGGCCAAGAACTTCTTGGCCACTTCCAATATAGATAAGGAGAGAGTCGGGGGGAGAAAGGGGAAGCAAAATACAACTAGTCTGACACATCCATCTTATATTGTACTGTACTTTAGTGGAACCATAAAATCTTTTCAGTTCTTTCTAAACCTGATGTTTTTAAATGTCAGTGGCTCTTCATTGAAAATTGGCACCAAATTCTGTCTTATGAAACAGCTAGACATGCCCTGCTGACTTCAGTGGAAGTTGCATGTAATTTATGGCCCATTTCTGCCCTCAGTCCACAGTGTATTAAAAACCTTTTTTTGGCTTAACAGAGCACAAAATAATAGCTGAATAATTTAAAGAGTGAAAAGCACTTTTTCCTGCGTACTTGGATAACTCAAATGACTGAAGGGATTTTTAGTGCACACTCCAAAATATAAAATCATCATTGAGCTGAGAATGAATGAGACATTAACTTTTGGCTGAAATGTATTTTTCCTTCCCCTCCACCGGGAAACGGCTTAAGGCAGGGGTGGGTAAACTTTCTGGCCCGAGGGCCACATCTGGGTTGCGAAACTGTATGGAAGGCTGGGTAGGGAAGGTTGTGCCTCCCCAAACAGCCTGGCCCCCACTCTCCATCCGCCCCCCTGACTGCCCCCCGACCCATCCAACCCCCCCTGCTCCTTGTCCCCTGACTGCCCCTTCCCGGGACCCCCCGCCCCTAACCCCCCTGAGGCCTCACCCCCTATCCAAGCCCCCCGGCTCCCTGTCCCCTGACTGCCCTGACCCCTATCCACACCCCTGTCCCCTGACAGGCCCCCCCGGGACTCCCACGCCTGTCCAACTTCTCCCTGTCCCCTGACTGCCCTCCAGGACCCCCTGCTCCTTATCCAACCCCCCCCACTCCCCGCCCCCTTACCATGCCGCTCAGAGCAGCAGGAGCTCGCAGCCCGGCTGGAGCCAGCCGCACTGCCTGGCAGGAGCGGCGGACCAGAATGCTGGCGGCGCGGCGAGCTGAGGCTGTGGGGGAGAGGTAAAAGCCTCCCCGGCCGGGAGCTCAAGGGCTGGGTTTGCCCACCTCTGACTTAAGGCCTGAAAATAGGCTAGGTAGGAATTCATCATTAGAATGAAAACTTTCTCAACCATACCTAGAGTAGTGTTAAAATGATACTAACATTCAACTGAAAACAATTTTTTCTTGTAGTAATGGAAGAACATACTTTTCATGCATTATAAATGCTACTGTGGGATTCCTGTTCTTGAAAGAGGTGGCTACATTAACTTTATTCAGGTACAAATGGATGATAAAGGTTAACCTGTCAGCTTCTGTGTTTTTATTCTAGATCATGCACTGAGACTGTGGAACATCCAAACAGATACGTTGGTTGCAATATTTGGAGGAGTAGAAGGGCACAGGGATGAGGTCTTAAGTGCAGTAAGTGGAAAACTGTAGGGTAGTGCCTTCAGCCTTATGTACGGGAATCCCAATATCTCTCTCTTTTTGAATCATGTTTAGGCTTAAATATTGTGCATAGCAAACCCAAAGTACATGAATTGAACACTTTAACACATTTAGGCTAATATAATTCTAAGATTACACAACATCAGCACTAAAATACTTCCCAGTCCATAAAAACTGGACACCTGCGTCACTCAAACTCTAGAGAAACTGGATATTTTGCAACATGTCCTGAAGGTAAACAAACTAGGACGCTGTGGGATTAAAGAGTGGTGCTGGAGGGAAATGGGAAGGAATTGTTCAAAGCCCTTCTCTATGAACACCTTGTTCTAATGAATGCCTCTAGGAACTATAAGTATCCAAGTTGACCTCACCCTGTGATGAGTTCTCTCAGCTAAGAGAAACTGGTGAATTGCTACGCTAATGTTTAAAAGATTTAGTTTTAGTAGGTGATTGGATGAAGCAACCAAAGTTTAAAATAGCTTTATCCTGCAGTTTTTGCATTTATAACATATAGCTTAAAGTGTGAAAGATTGCATAGCTTTTCATGGAATAAAGACAATCCCTACCCTGAAGAGCTTGCAGTCTAACGCCCTTATCCTACCTGTGCTTAATTTTACAGATGTGAGTGATTCCTTTTGACTTCTGGTGGTAGGCAGGATACAAATATCTTAAATAGGCTAAAGATGAAAGAAAAACAAACAAGCCATAGTGCCAATTAAATATTTTAAATCTCTAAAATATTTATAATTTTTCTGTAAATTTGCAACCATATTTAGAATAGACTTCCCACTATCTTATATTTTAACAGTGGATAAAATTGATTATATAAAAATGTAATTAATTTTTTTAACAGCTTTATTTTTATAAGTAAACCTATTTAAAATTTGAAATTATTACATGTTTTAAGGCCTAAATTTACTATAATCTGTTAAAAAAGGATTAATATTAAGCAATACATATTTGCAGCTGCAGTTTTAAAGAAAGTCATAGTGCTGAACTGGTGGAAGTCACTGGCTAAGCACCTAGAACCAGAATTTGTTGAAGTGCTACACCAGCTTTTGACAGCAGTAGCTTCTTCAGGTGTAGAGAGAATGTTTTCTTCATGTCAGGTTGTTCAGCTAGTCCAGTTCAATTCACTAACTACAGATAGTACTTCTTTTGCTTTAATAAAACAGTTAGCTTTAAATGCAAAACATGTTATGTTTTGAAAAACTTTTTTTCTTGTGTAACCAGAACATTTAAGGTAGTTTTATTTAACTAACAGAAATCATTTTGAAATGTTCTCTTGTGCATTTAATTTGAATTTTAACTTCCATCCAAATAGAGTTTGACACAATTCACAAGTAAAACTTAATCATCTTCTAGTAAATAAGAAATGCATAGTTCATTTCTTATTGTTTATTTAATTAAGAAATATAATACCTTAAATAAATGTATGTAGATACACCATACCTTTCTGGTCAGCAAAAAGCACCAAATTTAGTGTAAAGGCTAAATTTAGTTGTGAATCAACGTGTTTTAACAGTTACAAACAGTGAAAATCAACCTTTCTCTATGAAAATGACTAAAAAGTACAAATGCAAAATGAGATTAAAATCAATTATTTAAATTGCTTTGATTTTAAAGCAATCCCTCCTGGGGTCTCTTTTTTTTACACTTGTTTAGAATGACTTACAGTACACACTCTTCTGTAGATTCACCTCTCAAGGGATGCAGTTATTGCTTCATGCCACCAAAACCTTTATACCTATTTCTGTCTTGTACTTTTGATGTATACAAATAATCTATCTTTGATTACATAAATGTTTCTTGGACACTTGTACAAACTTTTATTTGGGAGACCCAACAAACTTTGCATAATCCAAGCATCACATAACTGTGGAGTTTATTTTTCTGTCTATAAAACAACTTTCAAAGGTGACATAGTGTTGAAAGACTTTGCACAAGTGAGCTTTAAGGATGAATAGAATAAAAAACCTGGTGCTTTCATCCACAAGAGAATATAGTCACACTTACCACAATTCTTGTTTTGGCCTACAGTAGTATACAATTAATTCAGTACTATTTCTTTAGTAATTAAGGACTTGACACAAATTTCACATTCAACATGGTTTACATGTAAGATGAGCTTTCAGTACTGCCCTGTCCTCATATATATCTTAGTCAAATTGTACACATAAAACAAAGGAAAGCAATAAAAAATATGAAGGGAGAGGAATGCATAAGGAAGGAAAAGCCTTACATTAATAAAGGAAACAGTGACTGAAGTTTGTTATGCCTGCTTACTTATGGCTCTGTTTATGTACAGATATTCAAATTTTATTGGTATGTAACAAATACCTAGATAGAATATTTGTGCTAGAAACAATCATTTGTCTTTGGTT